AGTATCCCTTCTTTATTTTCTTTCCAAAACTATTGAGCGTGCCGTCTTTAGCCAACTCTCTTGCTATCTCTCTCAGAATTACCTTCTTGATCCAAACCAGTCAGGTTTCAAGACTGGTCATTCAACTGAGACTGCTCTTCTCTGTGTCACGGAGGCTCTCCGCACTGCTAAAGCTAACTCTCTCTCCTCTGCTCTTGTCCTTCTAGACCTGTCTGCTGCCTTTGATACTGTGAACCATCAGATCCTCCTCTCCACCCTCTCCGAGCTGGGCATCTCCGGCGTGGCTCACTCTTGGATTGCGTCCTACCTGACCGGTCGCTCCTACCAAGTGGCGTGGCGAGAAGCTGTCTCCGCACCACGTGCTCTCACCACTGGTGTCCCCCAGGGCTCAGTTCTAGGCCCTCTCCTATTCTCGCTATACACCAAGTCACTTGGCTCTGTCATATCCTCACATGGCCTCTCCTATCATTGCTACGCTGACGATACACAACTAATCTTCTCCTTTCCCCCTTCTGATAACCAGGTGGCGAATCGCATCTCTGCATGTCTGGCAGACATATCAGTATGGATGACGGATCACCACCTCAAGCTGAACCTTGGCAAGACGGAGCTGCTCTTCCTCCCGGGGAAGGACTGCCCGTTCCATGATCTCGCCATCACGGTTGACAACTCCGTTGTGTCCTCCTCCCAGAGTGCGAAGAGCCTTGGCGTGACCCTGGACAACACCCTGTCGTTCTCCGCTAACATCAAGGCGGTGACCCGATCCTGTAGGTTCATGCTCTACAACATTCGGAGAGTACGACCCTGCCTTACACAGGAAGCGGCACAGGTCCTAATCCAGGCACTTGTCATCTCCCGTCTGGATTACTGCAACTCGCTGTTGGCTGGGCTCCTTGCCTGTGCCATTAAACCCCTAAAACTCATCCAGAATGCCGCAGCCCGTCTGGTGTTCAACCTTCCCAAGTTCTCTCACGTCACCCCACTCCTCCGCAACACTCCACTGGCTTCCAGTTGAAGCTCGCATCTGTTACAAGACCATGGTGCTTGCCTATGGAGCTGTGAGGGTAACGGCACCTCCGTACCTTCAGGCTCTGATCAGTCCCTACACCCAAACGAGGGCATTGCGTTCATCCACCTCTGGCCTGCTGGCTCCCCTTCCTCTGCGGAAGCATAGTTCCCGCTCAGCCCAGTCAAAACTGTTCGCTGCTCTGGCACCCCAATGGTGGAACGGGCTCCCTCGCGACGCCAGGACAGCGGAGTCACTCACCACCTTCCGGAGACATTTGAAACCCCACCTCTTTAAGGAATACCTGGGATAGGATAAAGTAATCCTTCTACCCCCCCCCCAAAAAAAAAAAAAATTGTAAAGTGGTGATCCCACTGGCTATAAGGTGAATGCACCAATTTGTAAGTCGCTCTGGATAAGAGCGTCTGCTAAATGACGTAAATGTAAATGTAAATAAAAACTTGTTTTTCAACCACTCCACAAATGTCTTGATAACAAACTATAGTTTTGGCACGTCGGTTAGGACATCTACTTTGTGCATGGCACAAGTAATTTCACTTATAATTCACTGTATCAGAATTCCAGTTGGTCAGAAGTTCACATACACTAAGTTGACTGTGCCTTTAAACAGCTTGGAAAATTCCAGAAAATGACGTCATGACTTTAGAAGCTTCTGATAGGCTAATTGACATCATTTGAGTCAATTGGAGGTGTACCTGTGGATGCATTTCAAGGCCTACTTTCAAACTCAGTGCCTCTTTGCTTGACCTCAGAAAAAACATTGTAGACCTCCACAAGTCTGGTTCATCCTTGGGAGCAATTTCCAAATGCCTGATGGTACCACGTTTATCTGTACAAACAATAGTACACAAGTATAAACACCATGGGACCACGCAGCTGTCATACTGCTCAGGAAGGAGACGCGTTCTGTCTCCTAGAGATGAACGTACTTTAGTGCGAAAAGTGCAAATCAATCCCAGAACAACAGCAAAGGACCTTGTGAAGATGCTGGAGGAAACAGGTACAAAAATATATATATCCACAGTAAAACAAGTCCTATATCCACATAACCTGAAAGGCCGCTCAGCAAGGATGAAGCCACTGCTCCAAAACCACCATAAAAAAGCCAAACTACGGTTTGCAACTGCACATGGGGACAAAGATCATACTTTTTGGAGAAATGTCCTTTGGCCATAATGACCATTGTTATGTTTGGAGGAAAAAGGGGATGGCTTGCAAGCCGAAGAACACCATCCCAACCGTGAAGCACGGGGGTGGCAGCATCATGCTGTGGGGGTGCTTTGCTGCAGGAGGGACTGGTGCACTTCACAAAATAGATGGCATCATGAGGAAGGTAAATTATGTGGATATATTGAAGCAACATCTCAAGACATCAGTCAGGAAGTTAAAGCTTGGTCGCAAATGGGTCTTCCAAATGGACAATGACCCCAAACATACTTCCAAAGTTGTGGCAAAATGGCTTAAGGACAACAAAGTCAAGGTATTGGAGTGGCCATCACAAAGCCCTGACCTCAATCCTATAGAAGATTTGTGGGCAGAACTGAAAAAGTGTGTGCGAGCAAGGAGGCCTACAAACCTGACTCAGTTACACCAGGTCTGTCAGGAGGAATGGGCCAACACCCAATTTATTGTGGGAAGCTTGTGGAAGGCTACCCGGAACATTTGACCCAAGTTAAACAATTTAAAGGCAATGCTACCAAATACTAATTGAGTGTATGTTAACTTCTTACCCACTGGGAATGTGATGAAAGAAATAAAAGCTGAAATAAATCATTCTCTCTACTATTATTCTGACATTTCACATTCTTAAAATAAAGTGGTGATCCTAACTGACCTAAGACAGGGAATTTTTACTAGGATTAAATGTCAGGAATTGTGAAAAACTGAGTTTAAATGCATTTGGCTAAGGTGTATGTAAACTTCCGACTTCAACAGTAGATGCAGAAAGTAAACAGCACAGCGGGTAAATTTTCGCAACAACTAAGAGCGTTGAAGCGCGAGGCTCAACTTCGCTGTTTTGGTGCCCTGTCTACCACGCTGTGAACAGCGTAAAGCGAACCCCGTGCACATGCGCAGATCCTGTGTGTGTGACTGTGTGAGAGCCAAGTGTTGCATCTCGCTCATTTCAGTATCCTAGCCTATTCATTGATGATAGGTCCTGCTTTATTGAAATTGTGAGACATTGCAAGCCAAGAAATTGCGAGATACAGCCTTCTATTGCGAGATACAGCATTCCATTGCAAAATACAGCCTTCTATTGCGAGATACAGCATTCCATTGCGAGATACAGCATTCCATTGCGAGATACAGCCTTCCATTGCGAGATACAGCCTTCCATTGCGAGATACAGCCTTCCATTGCGAGATACAGCCTTCCATTGCGAGATACAGCCTTCCATTGCAAGAAAGAGCTTTGATTGCCGATAGAAAGGACTAGTGCATGGTTCTGACTGTCTGCCTGGTGGCCGACCTGCCTATACTGTGCCCCTCCCCTATCTTTCCGTCACTCGCTAGCTCGCAATGAAAGATGTGAGTGTTTGTGTTCTCGGATGTGTGGCAACTGATCAGTCTCATCCGTTCCAAAAATACTGAATCTTAGGAGAATATTGACACTCAGAAATGGGAGTCGACACCGGGAGTCGACATGCAAGGAGTCGAGGAATCAATTCTCCACCACTACGTCATCGTCGTTAACAGTTGGAAAAATGACAGAGAAAGGCAAGCGTCAGGAGCGAGGTGCTGTATGGCAATACTTTAAGTTCAATGAGAAGGAAATGCAAACTTTGCAAAGTGGAATTTAGGTACAGTAATGGTACAACAGGTGCAATACTTAACAATCTGAAAGGGACGCACCGTGAGACCCAAACTGTTGCTGGCATCAGCGCAGCTGCATTGTGAATTCACAATGGAATTGTACGCATTTTTCTTATCGCTTTAACGGAAAACCAATAAAACCTTTTGCAGTTTAAACATTAAGAAAACATTTCCATTTGTCACATTCCTACTATACATGTAGTAATCATGTCAAAGTGGTATGAGAAGGGACATTTCCAAACAAGTCAGGGATGTATAGCCTGGGATCCACACTATAAAGGCGACAATCTTGTAGGTAGAGGACAGAGCTGTGTGAGACACACTGCTCACCATTTTATCTAGCTCTGAGAGGACCTATGTGTTCTATTCCTCTACCATTCTTTCCAATTTCCACACCTGTATTTTCCAGATCTCTTTTTCATACTTTTACAGGTGACAAATGTACTGTATATGGGGATATGTTTGCAAACTTTTGTTCCCTATACTTAATTTTGAGCGTCTTAGAGACTTCACATATACTGAACCTACAGTATTTTTATAACTATGCAATTAGCAGTTTATGGTTTCACGAGACTAGGACTATGGGAGATGTAAAGGCTTTACAAGGTTTGCCTGCGGTTTGCATCCAGGAGGAAAGTGAGTTTTTCTGTTATGAATGAGAGGTAATTATGTGTTACAGTGTAGGGTAGGCCTAATGTCAGGGAATTACACCCGTGTCTGTCTGCCTCCCCCTCCGTCTTGCTTTTGCCCTAAATTCCTATTCAGTGAAGTGAAACAACAGTGAAGCAGGTCTCAATGGTTATTTACTCACGCTGTGATCCAGTCCTTGGGACATGGCCCATGATCCAGCCATGGTGATGCTCACGTTGGGGTGATCTGTAAGAGAGTGGGATAATAGCTAACATAAATAATAAGGGTGGAATACCAACATCTGTTGAAGGGTACGACCATAGATCCCAGGGATTCATCTGGCACCATAGTCTATGTCGGTGAGACACACAAACACACACACACAAACCAATCTCCACTAACTCTTATCATACACATGGTCTATGTCGGTGAGACAGTATACAGTGCATGGTGTTATTCTTATCCATCTTTCCAAGCTGTTCTTCCCCACAAGATCAACACATCATTCATATTCTCTCAGACACAGCACGTCAGGGAGCGCTCTTCCACACAAACACACACACACACACACACAAAGAGGGCAGTAGGATACCTCTGAAAAGTAGAGTCATTTGGAGCTCAGAGGTGCCCAGGTCAACCAGGTACAGGCCATCAGAGCTTCCCATCCACACCCAGCTGTTATCGCTACAGGGGGCATAGAGAGAGAACCTTATGCCATATGGAAAAACACTGTTATATACACAAACACGAGCAAACACACACACACACACACACACACACACACACAACAGGGGGGGCACAGGAACAGAACCATGTGGAAAACGCTGTTGCATACTACTCCTTCAAAGGGCCTTTGTTTCAGTAGATTTGAGAGGAGAAGACAATGTATCCCCACACCAAAGAGGACCAGACAATGTAACCCCACACTAAAGAGCACAAGACAATGTATCCCCACACCAAAGAGCACAAGACAATGTAACCCCACACTAAAGAGCACAAGACAATGTATCCCCACACCAAAGAGGACAAGACAATGTAACCCACACTAAAGAGGACAAGACAATGTATCCCCACACCAAAGAGGACAAGACAATGTAACCCCACACTAAAGAGCACAAGACAATGTATCCCCACACCAAAGAGGACAAGACAATGTATCCCCACACCAAAGAGGACAAGACTATGTAACCCCACACTAAAGAGCACAAGACAATGTATCCCCACACCAAAGAGGACAAGACAATGTATCCCCACACCAAAGAGGACAAGACAATGTAACCCCACACTAAAGAGCACAAGACAATGTATCCCCACACTAAAGAGGACAAGACAATGTATCCCCACACTAAAGAGGACAAGACAATGTATCCCCACACCAAAGAGGACAAGACAATGTAACCCCACACCAAAGAGGCCAAGACTATGTATCCCCACACCAAAGAGGAGAAGACAATGTATCCCCACACTAAAGAGGAAAAGACAATGTATCCCCACACTAAAGAGGACAAGACAATGTAACCCCACACTAAAGAGGACAAGACAATGTAACCCCACACTAAAGAGGAGAGGAAAAGACAATGTAACCCCACACTAAAGAGGAGAGGAAAAGACAATGTAACCCCACACTAAAGAGGACAAGACAATGTAACCCCACACTAAAGAGGAGAAGACAATGTAACCCCACACTAAAGAGGAGAGGAAAATACAATGTAACCCCACACTAAAGAGGACAAGACAATGTATCCCCACACTAAAGAGGAGAAGACAATGTAACCCCACACTAAAGAGGAGAAGACAATGTAACCCCACACTAAAGAGGACAAGACAATGTATCCCCACACTAAAGAGGAGAAGACAATGTAACCCCACACTAAAGAGGAGAAGACAATGTAACCCCACACTAAAGAGGACAAGACAATCCAGGGAACTAAAGCCATCTCACGCTGTAGAATAAATAAAACAGGGTGGCAGAGGAGAGGAGACAGAAAGAGGGAGAGGAGGCCCTTCAACCATCAACGATCATGTCCAACATATCAAATCAAATTGTATTTGCCACATGCGCCGAATACAACAGGTGTAGACATTACAGTGAAATGCTTACATACAAGCTATTAACCAACATGTTGGTACATAGTCCACTGTTTAGGTTAAGTTGTGAAATCCTTGCCTTGACTTGGCAAATAAACGGAGGAAAATGTTGTACTTTAGTTGGAAATAACAAACCATGATTGATAGGCCTAGAAGTCTGTGATACAAGTTGTGTCTCTATAACTGCTAAAACATTTATTTTCATATACTGATGTGGTAGCCTCGTCTCAGATTTGTTTGTGCTGCCTTGTCACCTCCTATGGTCATTGTCTTGCCTTCATGAGTTAGCTGTACAGATGGTTATGTATACTGACATGAGTTGGCTATAGAGCACAAACAGATTTGGGACCAGGCTTCTGTTGTGGCACACCGCATAGCTTTGATGCCTATAAGATTCCTTGTGATGGACATATCAAAGTCAGAGACCATGAGAGTCCTGACCGTTCTATACTATACTACAGTCGTGGTCAAAAGTTTTGAGAATGACACAAATATTAATTTTCACAAAGTCTGCTGCCTCAGTTTTTATGATGGCAATTTGCATATACTCCAGAATGTTATGAAGAGTGATCAGATGAATTGCAATTCATTGCAAAGTCCCTCTTTGCCATGAAAATGAACTTAATCCCCCAAAAACATTTCCACTGCATTTCAGCCCTGCCACAAAAGGACCAGCTAACATCATGTCAGTGATTCTCTCGTTAACACAGGTGAGAGTGTTGACAAGGACAAGGCTAGAGATCACTCTGTCATGCTGATTGAGTTAGAATAACAGACTGGAAGCTTTAAAATGAGGGTGGTGTTTGAAATCATTGTTCTTCCTCTGTTAACCATGGTTACCTGCAAGGAAAGACGTGCCGTCATCATTGCTTTGCACAAAAAGGGCTTTACAGGCAAGGATATTGCTGCTAGTAAGATTGCACCTAAATCAACCATTTATCGGATCATCAAGAACTTCAAGGAGAGAGGTTCAATTGTTGTGAAGAAGGCTTCAGGTCGCCCAAGAAAGTCCAGCAAGCGCCAGGACCATCTCCTAAAGTTGATTCAGCTGCGGGATCGGGGCACCACCAGTGCAGAGCTTGCTCAGGAATGGCAGCAAGCAGGTGTGAGTGCATCTGCACGCACAGTGAGGCAAAGTCTTTTGGAGGATGGCCTGGTGTTAAGAAGGGCAGCGAGGAAGCCACTTCTCTCCAGGAAAAACATCAGGGACAGACTGATATTCTGCAAAAGGTACATGGATTGGACTGTTGAGGACTGGGGTAAAGTCATTTTCTCTGATGAATCCCCTTTCCGATTGTTTGGGGCATCCGGAAAAAAGCTTGTCCGGAGAAGACAAGGTGAGCGCTACCATCAGTCCTGTGTCATGCCAACAGTATAGCATCCTGAGACCATTCATGTGTGGGGTTGCTTCTCAGCCAAAGGAGTGGGCTCACTCACAATTTTGCCTAAGAAAACAGCCATGAATAAAGAATGGTACCAACACATCCTCCGAGAGCAACTTCTCCCAACCATCCAAGAACAGTTTGGTGAATAACAATGCCTTTTCCAGCATGATGGAGCACCTTGCCATAAGGCAAAAGTGATAACTAAGTGGCTCTGGGAACAAAACATCGACATTTTGGGTCCATGGCCAGGAAACTCCCCAGACCTTAATCCCATTGAGAACTTGTGGTCAATCCTCAAGAGGTGGGTGGACAAACAAAAACCCACAAATTCTGACAAACTCCAAGCATTGATTATGCAAGAATGGGCTGCCATCAGTCAGGATGTGGCCCAGAAGTTAATTGACAGCATGCCAGGGCGGATTGCAGAGGTCTTGAAAAAGAAGGGTTAACACTGCAAATATTGACTCTTTGCATAAACTTAATGTAATTGTCAATAAAAGCATTTGACACTTATGGAATGCTTGTAATTATACTTCAGTATACCATAGTAACATCTGACACAAATATCTAAAAACACTGAAGCAGCAAACTTTGTGTCATTCTCAAAACTTTTCACCACGACTGTAGTCAGTCAGTCACCCTGTGGCCTACAGACAGTACGCTGCACGTGCACCACTTGTGCTTCCCAGGCTTTGCATAGTGTCTACAGTACTTCACCATGGCAACAGGTGCTGATTGGACAGCCTGAGACTGTTAACGCCACTTCAACTAGCCTTTAATAGGAAGTGTCCTGCTATCGCTGTGGAAACACCACTCTAACACCCCCGTTAGTCACTACTAATAAAGACATCTGAGGTTGGAACTGTTTCCGGACCACTGCGGCAGCGTGACACCTGCAAGGCTGGAGAAATGGAAATGATGACGTTATATATTTACATTTCTGATATTATATTTTCCTGGATCACTCAAAACTCTCTTAGTCTGTGGAAATAATGACGAATCAAGCACTCTCTACATAACCTGGGGAAACATACAGGCCTAGTTGGTAGAGCATGGCGCTTGCAACGCCAGGGTTGTGGGTTTGATTCCCACGGGGGGCCAGTATGAAAAATGTATGCACTCACTAACTGTCAGTCGCTCTGGATAAGAGTGTCTGCTAAATGACTAAAATGTCAAATGTAAATGTAGTAGGCTGTAATATAGACCAGTGGTTCTCAACCAGGGGTTGGCCTATCCACAGGGGTACTTGAGAAGACACATTAGACCATAGGCTTACTGGTAAAGTCTAATCTAATTGTATTTGTCACATGCTTCATAAACAACAGGTGTAGACTAACAGTGACATGTTTACAGGCCCTTCCCAACACCGCAGAGAGAAAAAAATAGAAATAATAGAAAAAGAATAACACAAAGAATAAATACACAATGAGTAATGACAACTTGGCTATATACACGGGGTCCCAGAACCGAGTCATTGTGGAGGGGTATGAGGTAATTGGGTAGATATATACAGTTGAAGTCGGAAGTTTACATACACCTTAGCCAAATACATTTAAACTCAGTTTTTCACAATTCCTGACATTTAATCCTAGTAAAAATGTCCTGTCTAAGGTCAGTTAGGATCACCACTTTCTTTTAAGAATGTGAAATGTCAGAATAATAGTAGAGAGAATGATTTATTTCAGCTTTTATTTCATTCATCACATTCCCAGTGGGTCAGAAGTTTACATACACTCAATTAGTATTTGGTAGCATTGCCTTTAAATTGTTTAACTTGGGTCAAATGTTTCGGGTAGCCTTCCACAAGCTTCCCACAATAAGTTGGGTGAATGTTGGCCCATTCCTCCTGACAGAACCTGGTGTAACTGAGTCAGGTTTGTAGGCCTCCTTGCTCGCACACACTTTTTCAGTTCTGCCCACAAATTTTCTATAGGATTGAGGTCAGGGCTTTGTGAGGGCCACTCCAATACCTTGACTTTGTTGTCCTTAAGCCATTTTGCCACAACTTTGGAAGTATGCTTGAGGTCATTGTCCATTTGGAAGACCCATTTGCGACCAAGCTTTAACTTCCTGACTGATGTCTTGAGATGTTGCTTCAATATATCCACATAATTTTCCTTCCTCATGATGCCATCTATTTTGTGAAGTGCACCAGTCCCTCCTGCAGTAAAGCACCCCCACAGCATGATGCTGCCACCCCGTGCTTCATGGTTGGGATGGTGTTCTTTGGCTTGCAAGCCAACCCCTTTTTCCTCCAAACATAACGATGGTCATTATGACCAAAGGACATTTCTCCAAAAAGTACGATCTTTGTCCCCATGTGCAGTTGCAAACCGTAGTTTGGCTTTTTTATGGTGGTTTTGGAGCAGTGGCTTCTTCCTTGTTGAGCGGCCTTTCAGGTTATGTGGATATACAGTGAGGGAAAAAAGTATTTGATCTCCTGCTGATTTTGTACGTTTACCCACTGACAAAGAAATGATCAGTCTATAATTTTAATCGTAGGTTTATTTGAACAGTGAGAGACAGAATAACAACAAAAAAATCCAGAAAAACGCATGTCAAAAATTTTATAAATGTATTTGCAATAAGTATTTGACCCCCTCTCAATCAGAAAGATTTCTGGCTCCCAGGTGTCTTTTATACAAGTAACGAGCTGAGATTAGGAGCACACTCTTAAAGGGTTGTTACCTGAATAAAAGACACCTGTCCACAGAAGCAATCAATCAATCAGATTCCAAACTCTCCACCATGGCCAAGACCAAAGAGCTCTCCAAGGATGTCAGGGACAAGATTGTAGACCTACACAAGGCTGGAATGGGCTACAAGACCATCGCCAAGCAGCTTGGTGAGAAGGTGACAACAGTTGGTGCGATTATTCGCAAATGGAAGAAACACAAAATAATTGTCAATCTCCCTCGGCCTGGGGCTCCATGCAAGATCTCACCTCGTGGAGTTGCAATGATCATGAGAACGGTGAGGAATCAGCCCAGAACTACACGGGAGGATATTGTCAATGATCTCAAGGCAGCTGGGACCATAGTCACCAAGAAAACAATTGGTTTACACACTACGCCGGGAAGGATTGAAATCCTGCAGCGCCCGCAAGGTCCCTCTGCTCAAGAAAGCACATATACATGCCCGTCTGAAGTTTGCCAATGAACATCTGAATGATTCAGAGGAGAACTGGGTGAAAGTGTTGTGGTCAGATGAGACCAAAATCGAGCTCTTTGGCATCAACTCAACTCGCAGTGTTTGGAGGAGGAGGAATGCTGCCTATGACTCTAAGAACACCATCCCCACCGTCAAACATGGAGGTGGAAACATTATGCTTTGGGGATGTTTTTCTGCTAAGGGGACAGGACAACTTCACCGCATCAAAGGGACGATGGACGGGGTCATGTACCGTCAAATCTTGGGTGAGAACCTCCTTCCCTCAGCCAGGGCATTGAAAATGGGTCGTGGATGGGTATTCCAGCATGACAATGACCCAAAACACACAGCCAAGGCAACAAAGGAGTGGCTCAAGAAGAAGCAGATTAAGGTCCTGGAGACCTTAATCTCATAGAAAATCTGTGGAGGGAGCTGAAGGTTCGAGTTGCCAAACGTCAGCCTCGAAACCTTAATGACTTGGAGAAGATCTGCAAAGAGGAGTGGGACAAAATCCCTCCTGAGATGTGTGCAAACCTGGTGGCCAACTACAAGAAATGTCTGACCTCTGTGATTGCCAACAAGGGTTTTGCCACCAAGTACTAAGTCATGTTCTGCAGAGGGGTCAAATACTTATTTCCCTCATTAAAATGCAAATCAATTTATAACATTTTTGACATGTGTTTTTCTGGATGTTTTTGTTGTTATTCTGTTATTGTTATTCTGTCTCTCACTGTTCAAATAAACCTACCATTAAAATTATAGACTGATCATTTCGTTGTCAGTGGGCAAACGTACAAAATCAGCAGGGGATCAAATACTTTTTTCCCTCACTGTAGGACTCATTTTACTGTGGATATAGATACTTTTGTACCTGTTTCCTCCAGCATCTTCACAAGATCCTTTGCTGTTGTTCTGGGATTGATTTGCACTTTTCGCACTAAAGTACGTTCATCTCTAGAAGACAGAACGCTTCTCCTTCCTGAGCAGTATGATAGCTGCGTGGTCCCATGGTGTTTATACTTGCGTACTATTGTTTGTACAGATGAACGTGGTACCTTCAGGCATTTGGAAATTGCTCCCAAGGATGAACCAGACTTGTGGAGGTCTACAATTTTTTTCTGAGGTCTTGGCTGATTTCTTTTGAATTTCCCATGATGTCAAGCAGAGAGGCACTGAGTTTGAAGGTAGGCCTTGAAATACATCCACAGGTACACCTCCAATTGACTCAAATGATGTCAGTTAGCCTATCAGAAGCTTCTAAATACATAATTTTCGGGTATTTTCCAAGCTGTTTAAAGGCACCGTCAACTTAGTGTATGTAAACTTCTGACCCACTGGAATTGTGATACAGTGAATTATAAGTGAAATAATCTGTCTGTAAACAATTGTTGGAAAAATTACTTGTGTCATGCACAAATTAGATGTCCTAACCGACTTGCCAAAACTATAGTTTGTTAACAAGAAATGTGTGGAGTGGTTGAAAAACAAGTTTTAATGATTCCAACCTAAGTGTATGTAAACTTCCGACTTCAACTGTAGGTAGGGATAAAGTGACTAGGCAACAGGATAGATAATAAACAGTAACAGCAGCGTATGTGATGAGACAAAAGAGTCAATGGTCATTGCAGATGGTCCAGGTAGTTATTGGTTAACTATTAAACTAACTATTTAGCAGTCTTATGGCTTGGGGGTAGAAACTTTTCAAGGTCCTGTTGGTTCCAGACTTGGTGCATTGGTAACGCTTGCCTTGCGGTAGCAGAGAGAACAGGCTATGGGTGGCTGGAGTCTTTGACAATTTTTAGGGCTTTCCTCTGACACCGCCTGGTATAGAGGTCTTGGATGGCAGGGAGCTCGGCCCCAGTGATGTACTGCACCGTACGCACTACCCTATGTAGAGCATTGGTGCAGCTGTAGAAGTTTTTAAGAATCTGAGGGCCCATTCCAAATCGTTTTAGCCTCCTGAGGGGGAAGAGGCGTTGTCGTGCCCTCTTCACAACTGTGTTGGTGTGTGTGGACCATGATAGGTTGTCAGTGACCTGCTCCACTACAGCCCTGTCGATTTGGATGGTGGCGTGTTCTGCCCGCCGTTTCCTGTAGTCCACGATCAGCTCCTTTATCTTACTGATGTTGAGTTAGAGGTTGTTGTCCTGGCAGCACACTGCCAGGTCTCTGACCTCCTCCCTGTAGGCTGTCTCATCATCTGCAAAATTAATGATGGTGTTGGAGTTGTGCGCGGCCATGCAGTTGTGTGTTAACAGGGAGTACAGGAGGGGACTAAGCACGCAACCCTGAGGGGCCCTCGTGTTGAGGGTCAGCGTGGCGAATGTGTTGTTGCAGAGGAAGGTGTTCAGTCCCAGAGTCCTTAGCTTAGTGATGAGCTTGGATTGCACTATGGTGTTGAACGTCCAGGGTGTCTGGGTCCAGGGTGTCTGGGATGATGGTGTTGATGTGAGCCATGACCAGCCTATCAAAGCATTTCATGGCTACAGATGTGAGGGGGTACTTCACTTGAGGGGTATTTCATTGGTAGTTCGGGCAGAGCAAAATGTACTTGGTGGTACAGTAATCGAAAAAGGTTTAAAAACACTGATATAAACTACAAAGGCATCAAACATCTGCTAAAACAGACTGTGATAAGCAAACAATGGGTTGAACACGTGATGTGTCAAGTGATAAATTAGGAAATGTGTTGCATTATCCCCTTTTATCTACAGTACATGGACCATGCAGAGAAACCCCATTTGGAAACCCATTTTACCTCTGCTGCCCATGATCAATGTCAGGTAGTCGCCTGTGATAAGCACATATTCTGAGAACTGGCTTTGCCGTCTCTACTGGGTCCGGAGTGATTCCTGGAACGAAACACAAGAGGTAGCTTGGGGTTATGAAATATGACAAAAATGGCTATTGAGTTATTGGGTGGACAGTCAGACACAGCATATTACTGTATAACCCCAAACCTCCTACAGAACATAACTCAGTGTTCTGATTCCATCTAGTGTTAGGAAAAACACTTTCATGTTTACATTTTCTTTTCTTATACTCATAACGTGAGAGAAAAAGTGGGAAATAAGTTCAAGTTCACGTTCTAAACGTTATGTGAAAATGAAAATGTGTCTTTGGCTTACAGGTATATGGCTAAAACGCATCACAGGAAACAAACAAATCATGTCCATAACTACTTTACTATCTTGTATTACCTATTACACCACCAGTCTGTGGGACCACTGTGTCCAGGTGCCTTTGGTGTCGTTGCTGCACCTTGTGAAGGTCCAATTTGGTCACCAAATGACATCTGTGGTCCTCAGGAAGAGTGAAGCTCCACACCTGGAACCAATGGGAAATCACAGATTTACTGAGTGTGTGTGTGTGTGTGTGTGTGTGTGTGTGTGGGTGTGTGCGACCAACCTGTCCATCAGCAGAACCAGTGACAAGCTGCCTGCTCTTCTCCAAGAACAACACACTGAGTAATGGAGATGCTGGAGAACAGAGGGAGTGGACAGAGTTAAAACTCCTACATATTATTTATAATTTACTACATTTACATTACATTTTTGTCATTTAGCAGACGCTCTTATCCAGAGCGACGTACAGTTAGTGAGTGCATACATTATTTATTTTTCATACTGGCCCCCCGTGGGAATCGAACCCACAACCCTGGCATTGCAAACGCCATGCTCTACCAACTGAGCTACATCCCTGCCGGCCATTCCCTCCCCTACCCTGGACGACGCTGGGCAAATTGTGCGCCGCCCCACGGGTCTCCCGGTCGCGGCCAGCTACGACATAGCCTGGATTCGAACCAGGATCTCTAGTGGCACAGCTAGCACTGCGATGCAGTGCCTTAGACCACTGCGCCACTCGGGAGCAAATGTATGGTAAACTGGTGTATCCACTGTTCACATACCTGACAATATAGCAGACTGGTAGAGAATCTCTTCCGTTTTTAATCCCCAAACCTTTCGAAAAGAGAAATAATCAATTGGTAAACGTTTAAAACCTGCTCCTATGGACAACAGTCTCTTTTGGAACAATAAACACACAATCACACACATGTGAAATTATGCAAGCTACAGCTGACTGACTTAGTAGCTAGTCATATCATTTGTACGTAGAAAGCTACAGCATATACTTTGATAAGGGATGAAAAAAACCACTTAAACCAAAACTGAAGCCGAGTTATTTCACTGGTTAGTGAATAACCTGACTGCACCTTAAATGTGCGGTCTTCTGATATGGACACCAGGATGTCTTTATTCCATGGACAGAACTCAGCTGCTGTCAAAGGTCCCAGGTGGCCAGCCAGCACAGACAACACATCCTCTATCTGGAGGTCAGTCAAACAGACAGTGTTTGCAATAGAAGAGAAGAAAACTTTATTGTCCCTTCCTTTGTCATCGTCTTACAAGAATTATAAAAACATAACACAAACACTTGTTATAAGGGATGAATTTGAGGGGTAGAGTACACTTACAGCATGTCGTACTCACCTTGGAGTTGAGTATGTATACTTTGTCCCCTGAGCATGCAGCCACTCGTTCATCACAGGGACAAAATGACAGATGGACTACCTTGCCCAGTAGGGTCCCAATAACTGTACCAGACGCAACTACCCCTGAAAACATTTATGCTTTTAGTATTGTACTATATAGCATTGTAAATTCCAAACTGAGTAAGTGATTGATTATATTGATTGATTGATTGAGTGAGTAAATGAGGCCTTACCAGTATATAAAATGTGGCCACTGAATTTAAATGTATTGTTATCTTACTGTTCATACAGCTATGTAGCAGAAATCCTCACCCTCCCTAGTTCTCCTGTAGCAAAGCCGGATGTCCCAGACTATGACATAATCTGCAGAGGCAGAGCAGAGCAGGAGAGGGTCTCTACCTGTCCCAAACACCATGGCAGAGATGTCTCCATGGTGACCAGTCAGTCGCAGTGCCTGCAAAGGGGAGGAGACGCATTGGAGTGTGGTGGAGCCAGGTGATGCAATGATTGAAGAGCCAGATTTCTTTACACTTAGAGATTCTCAGGTACTTTTGTATAATGTATAGCCAGTAGTTCTGAAAGTAGTGCTCACGAGCCAAAAGTGGTCCCCGAAAATTGCGTACTACGTCACATATGTGCAGATATGTGCACCACGTCATTGCTCTATCTACCCCTTTCTTGTGTGTACATCTTGCTAGCTGTCACTCAAATGGCGAGGGACTGAAGCTCATTGGCTAGAACTCGAATTGCCAGGGGAATGGACCACATGGGGGAAAATGTAGGGAAAATGGCGCCGAACAGCTTCCAGTAAACAGTCGCTTTAAAACTAGGGATTCCGTGGCTAATTGAGGTAAGACAGTAATTCTGCTCATAGATTATGCATGCATGAACTACACATTGACACATCCAGCCCAAAGCGGGAGGTTTAAAAAATACTTAGTACATGTAGTCGCCAAAGAAGCATGTATTTAACGGTGGGAAGCTACTGAGGAGGGTATATTTGCTAGTATCAAATCCTAGATGCCATCTTCTCCTGATGTGACCTTGAGTAAGTGTGTGTGTGTGTGTGTGTGTGTGTGTGTGTGTGTGTGTGTGTGTGTGTGTGTGTGTGTTCCAGAGGGGTTGGGAGATCAAACAGAACATCCATTTGGCTAACATCCGTTTCCAACTTATAGGACTGTCTGTAACTGACCTTCAGCTCTGGGTCCAGGAGACTGTGTATCAACAGGTCCTTGCCTTGTAGTGGCGAGGCACAGTGAGAGGGACAGCAGGCAAGCTGCAGGTGAGATAGCAGTCTATCACAGGCCAAGGATAGCTTCTCCATCATCATTCTGTTGGTCCCACTGCCTTCCCCACAACCATCCATGGTGATGGCTTTCTAGCTATGTACTGCAGTCACTCTGGAAACAGCAAAATAAAGAAAACATCATCCATTGAAATAAATGCATAGCTAGTTCAGCTAATAACCTACTAAAATCATATTGATAACCCAAATAGGAACAGCTAATATCTTATTTTTCGGTATACTTGTTGCAGTAGCTGCACTGTGTACTGTCACTCACAGCCTCTAGGAGATAATAGCTAAGAACTGTCTGTGGTAAGGATTACCCAGCTAGCTAACATAACTAGCTAGCTGGGTAACTTAACCCTTCACACAGACCACATGTCCTGCAAACTAACGTTAGCTAATACTTTAGGCAACAGTCGTATTCTAACCGTAGAACATATTCTGCAACATAGATAGTCACCCACCTTAAAATAAATTCAGGTTAATTGTATCTCTAGCAAGCTAGCTAAATATAGCTAATTGCTCACTACACCCTGCTACACCAACTACCAGCCTGCAATACGGGTCAAAAAGTATCCTGGAGAGTTGCCTGGTTACCAGGGACAACAACAGCAGAGGCTCAAGTTTCCCCTTTCATCGGTGTTATAGTTCTTGCATCTACCGCAAGGTGGTACTGTTGTCACGTGCATGATTTTCAGAGAGCTTGAATCATGTTGTATGCTGGCTAACTGGCAACAACAACAGCCGAAACGTTTCATTATTTCAATGGGCGAGGAGAAATAACGTATAATATTGGTCACCGTCTGAACGTAAAAGTCCTTGCTCGCGAAGCACGACGACAAGTATGTGCGATTGACCGGTGTTTTGGAGTTGGGCCAGTTGGGCGTTGGGCCAGTAACTGAATGGTTGCTAATTCAAATCCTGGAGCTGACTAGGTGACATTTCTGTTGAAGTGCCCTTGACCAAGGCACTTAAACCCTATTGCTCAGTCGTCACCAGTGGCGGCTCCTGAAAAAATTCTCAGGGGGGGCAATTTTTCTGATGATTTAGGTGACCTACACACATTTTAAAAAAGATATGTCCAGCAACAACATGAAGACAGGGGCAGCATATAAGTCAATACCAGAAGCATTTATTGACTTATCTCAAAAGTGTTGGCTTACCAGGGTTGGTGGAGCCCTCAGTTTCATCTTTGCCTCGCAAAGCTAACTCAAACACTCCGCAAAACTTCACACACTGGATTAGCCGGCTGAGGATGTGGCGGTTCTTGCTAATGTCGTAGTAAATATATTTGTTATAGTGAATATGGAATATGATATGTTGAGTAAAATGTTGTGCTAAGATCTATTTAGGTCAGGAGCTGGTTATAAGTTCTGTTCCTATCCAATAACAATGGACAAAAGGGTCCTATCTTGTCAGCCTTGTCAGTTTCAGTTCTCCAGTAAACTTGTGATTATCAACACTAACCTCATCGTTGTGGCGGCGGACAGCTAGCCTGTATCCCTCATCCAGTTGAGTGGGAATGTTCACTCTCCCCAAAGCAGACAATCTCAAACAGCTATTCTTGTGGGTCTTTGACAGCTCATGTTTCTTAATCTTTCCTGAAAGATGGTGCATGTCCGTTACACACCAGTCGCTGTCCAAGCGGTGCTGTCTGCCGTGCCGCCTTCAGGGTGAAAGAGTAAGCAGGGGGTAGCAGAAGACTGCATTAGCTACATCGCAGCCTGCTAGCCAGGTTTTTCGTTCGTACCAATTTTTGGAAAATCCTCGGGTGTAGGACTTCCCCCCTTTAGTAGAAACCTGTTGAATTATTAAATTTGGTCTGGGAGGTCCTAATTGTTTCGTTGCCAATTTATCTTCATTTGTTCGCCGACAAAAAGGAACTTCTTTCAAAGACACAATCGAGTTGCACTGAAGCCTAGCCATTTTGATAGTAGTAGTGAATTGATTGATGCTGCTACCCGCTCTTTTCTTAGTTACGTTCATGGTTATGTTACGTATGACGAAAGCGCGTAAGTGCAAGCCCTCAGAAACCCATAGAGATTGTATTGAAAGCTCTGATATTTGAAAAAAATAGATTTTACATGGGAGTCTATGACAGACTTCTGGGCGATTTTCAACCTGACTGAAATCGCCCCAAAAGGGGGGGGGGGGCCATTTGAAGCACGACTTTAGCCTGATTGGACATTTAGTGGCACTGTGGCAGATCAGACGTCTAGATTACAACACTGATAACTACTGTTGCCGTGATATAATTGATTAGAAAAAAAATCCCTTCCTTTTCCCGTTTGGCAGTGCGTCGCCCATATCGCCCTATTGAACACACCGCCCCTGGTCGTCACTAATTAAGTCTGTAACCCTGCTCATTTCTACAATTGATGGTCTTAAAATCTGATTTTAAACCAAACCCTAACCTTAACCCTATCCTTACCACACTGTTAACACTATGCCTAACCCTAACCTTAAATAAAGACAAAAAAGCGCATTTTTGTTTTCATGATTATTCACAATATAGACATATTTTGACTTTGTGGCTGTGTTATCTAGTGGAAGCCCCATTGCTCCAGGTTCGCAGTTGATAATGGCTGATAATTGGCAATAAACCAACAATCCCTGTTTTTTTTTATTCTTATTTTATTATACCATGCATTGCCTGAGCAAGGCCCGTAAAATTGCCTATGACTTTAGCCATCCCAGCCATAGACCGTTCTCTCCACTACCGTCTGGCATCAGGTCTCGGACCAACAGGCTCCGATACAGCTTATCGCCAAGCAATAAGACTGCTGAACAGCTAATCAATGGCTGCCCAGTGCCCACCCTTGGACTATCTGCACTGACCATCTGCACTGACTCTATGCACACTCACAGGTCTCTATCCATACATTCACACACACTTACACTCTCGCACACACACACACACTCACTCACTCACACACACATTTACGCCCACACACACAATCACCATATACGCTGCTGGGACAGGTTGGGGATATTCAGTTGTCAATGATGCAGTGGATGATATTAGCTTTTTATAAGTCCAATTGACAACCTAAAAATATACGTTTGTTGTACCCATAGTTGTACCTAGTGCTCAAAATACTGTACACTTTTGTTGTAGCTACCTAGTGTTCATGTCATCATTCAATCAGACCAAGACCTGTCCTTAATATAGCAACACGCCAATGTGATAGGAATATCCCTAGGCAGCGCTCAGAAAAAAATCTTACATGAATTTAATGTGATCCTGTTTGTATGTCCAGTTTTTCTAAATATTCAATCAAAACGATACTGTGTTGTCTCAATCCTGATCCCCCATTAAATTGTTCCCAGCAGAAAGAAAACATTTTGCCCAAATGTCATGATCATGGGATCATCTGAAATGATCTTCATTGTAGCATATGATGTGGTATGTTAGAGATTTGGTTCAGTTTTCTCTTAAAAATTGCATCCCAAAACATGGAGGGGCCAAATCTGAAGAGGGAGCTTAATTTATCAGGATTTAAAAAATGTACAAAACTAGGCCAAGAAAGAGGATAAGCATTTTACTGATATGATACGGTTATGTACAAAGTCCAGAGAGGACATATGAATTAAGAAAAAAATACTCCCTTGTTATGTTGAGATCACAACTTATTTATCATGATCACTACATAACAAAAATGGTTTTGTCGAGATCACAAGATAATTTTCTCGTCATCACCACATAACAACAATTGTTTTGTTGAGATCACGATCATCAAAAGTAAAATGCGTCATCCATTCATTTGTACAGATGCACGATAACCACCTCATCAGGGAGCCCTGTGATAGCAATGTGCTCGTGGGACATTTAAACCCTGAAAGATCCCTGACAAGCAGTTCTGTCTCCCAGGCTGCGAGCCGCCCCCAAAACCACAGCCAATTGCATGCAAGGGACAACCCAGCTAACTTGGCTCATCTTGTGAGCTAGCTAGAGTGTATTCGGAAAGTATTCTGTCCCCCTGACTTTTTCCACATTTTGTTCCGTTACAGCCTTATTCTAAAATTGATTAAATCGTTTTTTCCCCTCATCAATCTACACACAATACCCCATAATGACAAAGCAAAAACTATTTTTTTGAAAGTTTTGCAAATGTATTAAAAATAAAAAACTGAAATATCACATTTACATAAGTATTCAGACCCTTTACGCAATACTTTGTTGAAGCACCTTTGGCAGCGATTACAACCTCAAGTCTTCTTGGGTATGACGCTATAAGCTTGGCACACTTGTATTTGGGAGTTTCTCGCATTCTTCTCTGCAGATCCTCTCAAGCTCTGTCAGGTTGGATGGGGAGCGTTGCTGCACAGCTATTTTCTGGTCTCTCCAGAGATGTTCGATCGGGTTCAAGTCCGGGCTCTGGCTGGGACACTCAAGGACATTCAGAGACTTTTCACGAAGCCACTCCTGCGTTGTCTTGGATGTGTGCTTAGGGTCGTAGTCTTGTTGGAAGGTGAACCTTTGCCCCAGTCTGAGGTCCTGAGCGCTCTGGAGCAGGTTTTCATCAAGGATCTCTCTGTACTTTGCTCTGTTCATCTTTCCCTCGATCCTGACTAATCTCCCAGTCCCTGCCACTGAAAAACATCCCCACAGATTGATGCCGCCACCACCATGCTTCACCGTAGAGATGGTGCCAGGTTTCCTCCAGACATGACGCTTGGCATTCAGGCCAAAGAGTTCAATCTTGGTTTCATCAGACCAGAGAGTCTTCTTTCTCATGGTCTGAGAGTCTTTAGGTGCCTTTTGGCAAACTCCAAGTGGGCTGTCATGTGCCTTTTACTGAGGAGTGGCTTCTGTCTGGCCACTCTACCATAAAGGCCTGATTGGTGGAGTGCTGCAGAGATGGTTGTCCTTCTGGAAGATTCTCCTATCTCCACAGAGGAACTCTAGAGCTCTGTCAGAGTGACCATCGGGTTCTTGGTCACCTCCCTGACCAAGGCCCTTCTCCCCCGATTGCTCAGTTTGGCCGGGCAGACAACTCTAGGAAGAGTCTTGGTGGTTCCAAACTTCTTCCATTTAAGAATGATAGAGGCCACTGGGTTTTTGGGGACCTTCAATG